TAAAAAACTGTCATAAAAGTAAGATAGATCAGTTAATCCTGGATAGCAAAACATGAAATTTCCAAATCTGGACCAATTTGATCCAGATAAAATTTTTTGAAAAACTGGGCCCAGGAGGTTACGGCGATGTGGTGCGAGTTTTCCGAAGCATGTCCCAGATCCACCCGTCCTGTTGAGCTTCATCCGTCTCCAGAGGTCCCAGCCCAGCCTCGCTCACTGTAGTTTCTGGTTCCTGCCTGCCACTCACCTGCAGCCATCACCCCGTCGGCTTCTGCTCCGACCCCAGCTCATTTCCAGCCCCGACCTCGGCCCTCCGCTGCCCCCTTCCCTATTCACTTCTCCCTCGGGTCCGTGCCCTGCATTCCCAGCAGCGCCCCCTTGCCCTGCAGTTCCTGCAGCACCCACCTATTCTAGCCCTGGATTTGACCTCCTTTGCATTTGGAACAGAATGACCAGAGTCGATCCAAGGCGAACTGCTGTGTGGGTTTGGGGAAACTTTCTGACCCCCAAAAGAACAGTAGACAGCTTCACCTCCAGTGTGATGAAATAACATGTAATGGCAAGGTATGTGTCCATGTTCAAGGAGGTCCACATGTCTGCTACATTAACTGCTGGGATGTTCTGCAACTCGGCAAGGCCTTCTCTTTGGTGTTCCCCTGCTAAGTGTATTAGCACTGGTGCCTGGACTTTTTTCTTTTTGGCGGTCAGCATTTCCAGCTGCATCTGATTCAATTTCTTTTTCAGTTCCCTCTCAAGCTCTTTAGCAGAGTCCTCCTCCTCTCAGTACAAGTCAATAGTATGGATCAGCTGCTCACGGTACTGCTCCTCAGGCATAGTAATGAGCCCCACAACTTGCCTTAGCCTGCTTCTCACTGGCTTAGGGAGCGCGTCCTGCAGTGCCCTCCGGTACAGACCTCTGAATGCCGGATTCTGCAGGTCCTGCTCCGTCTCAGTGCGCCACCGCTTTTCGGGAGTTTGCAGATAGGCAGCTGGGCTCTCCCCCTCCTTTATGTCCCCTATTGCCAGGAGCCGACCCATAGTTTCCTCCTCAAATGCTTTTATCCACTTTCTGGCCCCTTCTGCCAGAACTGGGAGTCTGAGAATCAGGCCCTCCAGATTCTGTCCTGCCCACGGCACATACTGTGTCTGTGTTCCTTTCACCATCAGCGGAAGCATCGGAGTGTACCTGGTGGGGGGCTTCACAGCCCTCCTGCTTCTCACTATTCTATGATCTGCATTATCTTCCTCTACTCCTTCCTCACTCTCTGTGTCTATCTCCCTCTCCTGAAACTGACTCCATCCTTTAGATGGAGGGTTAGGGGTGTCCAGCAGATGCATCAGCCCTTCTGCATTACTACCACTTGCTTCGTACCCCTCCTTTATCTCACTCCTTTCTTTCTCAGACCCACATACCTGGCCTTCCGTTACCACCTGCCGCAGCATGGCACTAACTTCCCTGTACCCATCAAAACAACCTGCCCTTTCTTTCTGCTCTCTACTTGCTTCATCCTTCTGTGTTACCTCACCTCTGAACTCCATCTTCCCCTCTATTAGTGGAAACAGACCCTTGTTAGAAGGAGGGGGGGCTTCCGCTAACGGGTACTGACTTTGATATGATGGTGGCCATCTTCTAATCACAACATTTCACCGTTATTTTAAGATTTGTCAAAGTTCTAAACTCACCTACCCGCACTTCCACTACTGTTAGTGACTTTCTATGGAAATGCACAGATGCCTTGTCCAGGCCCTCTGCTAACTTGGTCCCTTCCAATTTTAGTCTTAACCTTTCTCACCTCTAGGGTATTAATTTCTGCTTTATACACCTTGACACTCAACTTATCCGTCAAATATATATATGCTCTTCCTCTGATTCAGCCCAAAATTGCATACAGTATATGGCCATTTTCCCCACTTCCGCATAATATTTTCCCATTAAACTAAAGGCTCTTCGGGCTCTTTTTTTCTCAGCGTACCTTTCTTAACACAACCAGTCTGATCCAGCAGACCTTTAAAATCGGCACAACTTTTAATACTTAGGTTGTCTTTGGCCTTATTACTTTACCAATAATTTTGTTTGCAGCTCAACAGAACCTTTGCTTACAACAATTCCTTTGCAACTTAACAATATCTTTGCATCACGACGTAACAGCACGTTTCCCCACAACTTAAAATCATGGGCCCCTCCCTTAGGGCAACCTAACCTTTACTTTATCAAAACAAGGAGACCCCCCTCTCTTAGGGCGATGTCTCCAACTCACACTGATTCAAGAACCTGCAGCACAGTGGCCCTCTCTCAGGGCATTACCTTTATTACTAATCACTATTAAAACCTTCAAGGCCTCTGTGCCTTGAGGCAGTGTCCCAAACCCTCACATTAAACTATCCCCTCTTTCAGGCTCTTTTCTCTGGGGCAATATCCACACGTGACCCTTCTGGTAGGGATTTCTCTCACACCACACACACTGGGCACATTGAATACTACACAAGCGGCTCTCTCCTTTCCTTAGTTCTTTTAGTCGGCGAGTGTCCTTACCGGGAGGCTCTGCCTGGCGGCGTATGTCACCCCCGTCTCCATCTCCCTATTCTATTTCCCTATTCTTTTAAGCAATGATAAAAACCTTTCCTTACCTACCATTAGGGCGCCCCTTTGATGCAGACGGGTGTCTCCCGGTTTTCCGCCAGGTGGTCGCCTCCCCAGGTCTCTTCTCCGATCTTTATGTTGTGGTTTTTTCCTTCCCCGCCAAATCAGAAGTCAGAAGCCGCTCACGTAGATCCAAATTCAGTCTTTATTGCAACAATGAGGTTACAACCAAGGACGGACACTTGCAAGTGTCTCCAATATGTGTTACACCAATTTTTATACAAGTTCTTATCGTTTAACAATATCTTGCCACTTGAGCATCATCATTCCTTCAACCATTCACAATCATTGTTTTCTCCCTTGATCCACACCCCTAGGTGATAAGTTTGTCAATCATTTCTTTTACTTTTTGGTCCCTCAGCTGAACATAATGGTGGCATGACCATCTCTACTTGGTTTTTTAAAAATGTTCAGCCATGAACTTTTGGTGAACTCAGGTGAATCCCTTCCTTCAGTAGCAAACTTTGGCAGCTTCAGCTTGTTGCACATTGTCTAACTAGAGGGTTGATAATATATTTGTCCTTCAACATAGTGATAAGGTATACACTAATAAAGGTGGATGTTCATACATTCAGGGCTAACATAAAATGGCTACCAGAAACTTTGAGGCTAACACGAGGTGCAAATACATACTCAATTGATTACATTGTGTTGATTACATCATAATGATTACATTGTAATGATTACATCATGGGTATTTGGCATGCTTTTTAATAATATCATAATGATTATATTCTACGTTGTATAGTGCTAAATAATATTCCATAGTTCCACTAATGCAGTTCAGCTTTAACTATTCAAGGCTCATACAAGACAGACTTGCTAAGTCTCACTTAATGCCCACACCTGGGTTATTTAAAAAGCCCTAATGAATGGGTTAACGATAGATCGATCGAATGAGTTGGAAAGTGTGTAAAACGAGAGCAGTGTTTCTTTCCGCCACAGAACAAATGCTGCTGATGGAGTTGTATGAAAAATACAAAGATGTAATTGCTAAAAAAGGCAATACTGTGGCCATAAATAAAGGCAGGGAGTTAATTTGACAAAGAATTGCATACAGACTAAATGCGTAACTTATGTAAATATTACAAATGTCAAATACAGTGGCATGGTATTTATGTAAATAGTTAACCTCGCCCTAAGTCCTTTGCTTTACTGGTACTCATTTAAAGTGTTTATTATCGTGTGAAATAATACACTTTCAGTTTTGCATGCGACTAATTTTGAAATTTATAAATTTGCATCAGGATGCTTTTCACAAGGGTGAAACATATAAATTATTGTTTTTTTTTTGTTTGCTTTTTGTATTCATTGGCCCCTATAAAGTGGTAGACCCCCAACATCTGCCAGGGTATCCATGGTCTTCCGGTACACCTGGGATTACAGCTTGTAATTTACCTTCAGTACAATTTACCCCTCGAACCAAATGAAACCTTTTGAAACCACTTATGTACATATATAAACATCTGCTTATAACAGATAGTTTTTAATTATTATTGTTATATTCTGATTAAGGTCGTATTTCGGTCATTTTTGTTAAAGTGATATTCATTTTAAATTTCAGTTAGATTAAGCTTTATTTTGATCACTACCTTAAAATGGGAAAATATAATTTAAATTGATAATCTAATTTTGGCTCTCTCAAAATATGGCTTTTCACGTGTTTTGTTTTGTATATTATTAGTCAGTGGCAATTTTAGACCATTTCAACATGTATTTGACCTTACTGAAGCAAATATGAATTACACTACACTGCCAGCAGTAGAAGCAAGACATTTTTTTTTAAACCTTCGAGTTATTGATGCAGTTTTTTGCAGTTACATTTTACAGTTTTTACAAATATGCAACTCACCCTTACGCCTTTACATAATTACACTTTTCACTAATTGAATTGACTCTACCACCCGGCCCCTTGCGCCATCAAAAAATGTCAAAAAATGTGCTTACGTTTGTGTTTCGCCAGTTCCCTGCGCAGAAAACTGAAGCCCACATATAAATGTAAATAATAATAACACATTTATTTCAAGTATATTTTCAAGTAGCATACGCATTTAATGGGGGGGCATTTACGATGTTATTTATGGGGGCACTGGCCCCGCTGCACCCCCACCCCCACTCACCCACCCAAACCGCCCCTGTAGGGAACGCGGTAAGAGGTGAAAGAATTGCAGTAAAGGTGAAGAAGCTGTAAATCGCATTTCATGAATAATATATACATATCTGGACCTGTGAACACCAGAAAAAAAAGATTCAGCGAAAAGCAAGCACCCGAACCAGAAAAAAATAGATGTCTAATTATTATGAGCGTGTTTTATAACCATTTTGTCTGTGTGCAATGGTTTGCCGGTTGGTCGTGACGCGCATGCGCAGACTGTCCGCTATTCGCTGTCAGTGATCCGTGCGGGGAGCCGAGTCATTCAGCGCTGACTGCAGTGGCATCGGCACATACGAAAATGGCGGCCCGAGTAAGTCTTAGTAATCATTTACTAATCCGTAGCAGACTCGGCAATCTAGGACATGCATTTAATTCGGTATTCTGCAGACACGACCGTGTCTTGTTGTTTACAGAACGTAATCGGTGAATATGTCCGGGACTTGCTGCAGACGGGTGACGGTGCACCCGGTATATAGCAAGTCATCTTTAACACTATGCTCCGTATGCCTGCCCTTTTTACATCCTTCAGGATCACAATGAATTCTGTATTTAGATCGGCGTTTTGCAGAAAAATCGCCGAACGCGTATTATGTTGAGATATGAAATGGGCTGTTAGGTTACCTAGAAACAAACTAATGCTGAAAGGACTAGGGGATGGAGACGGGACTGGTGTGTACTGGCATACGATGCTTGTTTGACATTTACCAGTTAACGTTACCTGGATCTTAAGGGGAAAATACATTATTTGATGTGAATTACCGCATACCCAAATACCGCATATGATATGTTAAAGGTTTAACAAGGCGATGCGTTGCAGGATTATTTTAATCCTAGGATAATAAATAAATAAATGAATGAATGAATAATACATAAATATGGTAAAAAGAAAGCCATTTAACCTTGACAGGCCCTGAGGGAATAAAGTTCCTTTCATGCGAGTTTTATTTTATTTGTTTTTGCGTACCTTTTACGTGAACTCGGTGATGTCACCATTAAGGTGAAAGCCCTTACATCCGATGTATTAGACGATGTATTAAAATGGTTAAAACGGAGGCTCTAACGTCTCCTCGTCATGTAAACGTCGCAAAATTCTAGATCACAACTGCAGATCGGCTCTCCACCATCAGTAGATACAGAGCTACTATAGACAGTAGCTTAAAGACGCAAGATATTCTCTGTATGGGTTTGTTTGTTTGTCTATTTAAACAACAGTAATAGTTTCCTTAACATCAGTATCATATTCTGGCAATCATTTGGAAAACAAACCATAAGTCTTCGATCTGGTTTTTCTGTCTTACCAATGTGATAATTGAATATTAATAACGCGGATTATACGTATACTTTATATTATGTAGTAAAAAAAAAATATATATATATATATATATATATATATATATATATATATATATATATATATTACTCTATGTGTACTAATACTGACTCATGTCCGTCTTAGATGTAATGTCAATTAATCACCCTTACTTCAAGAAAAGATTTACTAGAAAAAGGAATTTAGTGTTATGGAGAGAGTTCAGTGTTTCTGTTAAGTCACAGTGTTACAAAGATATATTGTCGTTAGGTAATGCATATATGCATACTTGCACTCTTCACATTTTTAAGTATTGAATTTCCAGAACCTTTACATTAAATATACTGTACCTGTCAAAAGAACATCTACTTCAAACCAGGTTTCTTATTATTATCAAAACTTTAACCATATAATTACATATTACATGTTAATAGGCAAGTATATAACATGTATATGTATTAGGGATGTGCATCTCCACTTCTGAGGCGATACGATACACTTCTCACTAATGTATCAACGACCCGATACATTAAAGGTACATATGAAGCATCTACTATTGCGATGTGATTGACCCCTTTTGCGATGCAGTAGGATTCGACAAGACATGATGCGATGCATTACCAGACACGCTAACTTGGGTGAGACTTGGCCAACGGACAGCAGTGGAGTACTGGAGATGAAAGAGTACACTTGAGAAATAGGTTAGAGGGGGAATCAATCTAAATATAAAATTATTGGTTATATTTCTAAATAATAAAGGCATAGGGCTTCTACTAATAAATAAATATTTATTTAACCCTGGCTATATGATGCTTCCTGCTGATAACTCCAGTGGACAGGGCACGCTAGCCCTGGGACCCTCCCGTCAAGGCACTCTGCGTTGTGTTTTGGTGTGTTGGTGATGTCATGTCGTGGCGATGAGGGTGCTGGCCCAGGTGTGGCACAGTGACAGCAACTGTGGTGCCAGCCTGACTTCAGTTCTGACCCAATGGGGAGTGCAATCCGATGGGAGAGGTGGGTGCAGGTTAATACAGTCTGCAGGTGAATATGACTTATACAACAAAATAAAACTAAAGACTTGATTGTAGGCCTAAATAAAAAAAATAACAAAGCAAAAACCAAACTTTGGACTGTATTAAAGATTCTTCCTCACTTTCCCATAAACATAAGGACGAGTTGCCGATTCTTCTCCCTTCACAAACACAAGAGAGCTTGCTTTTGCATGCAGTAGTTTACTATGGGAGGTATTTTCTGCAAAAATCCTGCCAAAATGAAAATTAAAATGAAATAGCACAATTTGCATTTTAATTTTCCACTCATGAGTCAGATGCGAAAAAATTAAAAATATAATTAAAAAACCTTTTTGTCTTTTCATTTTCTGATTTGACTTTTCATTTCCTACTTTGCTTTTTCATTTTCAAGTTCACAACATGTAAATATATGTTAATTGGAGCATGGGAGTGGGCTGAGCTATGGATCACTGCTGCACTTTCTCAGTACGTTTGCCAATTCCGTTGTCTTTGTGTTCCTTCCACAGAGTCATTTGTGTCGCCCACACTAATGGCAGTTACACACGGCTACTTATTTGCACCTTCCGATTCATTTAGCTTCTTATTCGCAGCGTCTTATTTCGTGGCTAAAGTTAGCTTCTTATTCGCAGCTTCACTGGTAGGTTTGCCACCCACGATTTGCGATTTGTGGAAATTTATATGTGGTCTAATCATAATCTATTATGAACCCTAATCCTAATATGTCCCTTTACCAATGAAAACATTATTATACGTATTATAATACATTTTAAACAACCTGTTAACCTAATGAATTTGGACAACATAACACTGACATTCTCACCTCTTTTCCATGTGTATTTCTCATCCTTTTTGCTGCCTGCAGAAGTCCCTGCTGTCCCTCAGTGAATGTTTCGAATTCCAAGCATGATAATTTAAAGTTTAATTTGATGTACTGTTTTGACCAAAAGTTGCAAGGGGTAGATTTTTGCATTTGCTTAATACAAAACTGTGGTGCTACTTTGTTTTTGCATAATTTTACAGTGCTGCTTTTCCTTCATATTTGACTGATTTTTTGGCTAGACACAAAACACGAGTGTCGGATTACGCTGTAGCACGTATATTTATTTCATATAAGAATTTCACAAGTCTCCCTTTAATGAAAGTGGTGGAATTACCCAATCATAATGTGATTTTTCTTTCGTACCAGTGAACTGGTTGCATGACACTTTGAGCAATTGTACACATTGATTTGAATAAGAAGCCACATTTCCAAATGGAATGTGGAGGTTACATTCATCTTGGGTAAGGCAAATATGAAATGCATAGTACACAGCAGGCACGCAACTATAAGGACACTGAAATTAGCCTGGGCTAGATAGGTACGTGTTATAGGCTAATTAGCTGGAAACATGGCAGCCTGGGCTAGGCTAATTTCAGTGTTTCCTTACAGTAGCATACCTGCATAAATATGTGTGCTACAGCTTAAAAATTCTATTCACATTTTATTTCGTATTTTCAAAGTGTCTTAACTATAAACTGTGCAGTATGTGCCGCTGCGAACATTCCCATTAAGGAAGCTGGGAATAACTTAAGTCGTGAAATAAGATGCTACGAATAAGAAGCTAAATGAATCGGAAGCTGCAAATGAGTAGCTAAATTTGACCCCATGAGACTTTGCCAATAGTTTGGGTGAAATGGGCAACCATGCGCAAGGAACACAATGACAGTGGAATCAGCAAATGCACCAAGAAAGCGCAGCAGTGATCCATAACTCCATCCACTGCCTGAGAGGGTCCTCACTGCAGCCTGCGGGAAGGGGCGGAGCGATATGTGGGCGGAGCATGATATCACACAATTACCATATAAGGATACAAGGTGTAAAGATGGCGGATGATACGGTGTGCATTTGTTGTTTATACTGTCATGTCACAGTAATAAAAAGCTGAAGGATTTTAGTGTTTACTAATCTAAGTTTTTACTAAACTAAGAATGTCTACAAACACTGTGCATGCCTTTATGGGCTTTTAAGTAGGACACAATGGTATAGAAACACATTAACGTTAGGTTTCGAGATTCACTGACATGAGATTAGGAAAATATACACATTAATGCAGTGTTTCCCAACCCAGTCCTCGGGGAACCCTGTGGCCTGTACTACAAAGCGGGGTTACTTGTCGGATTTAAGGTACCACAGTTTAAATGGACTTCATATTCGCTCACTTACATTTTTCCCAGACCACCTTAAATTTGAGAAGTTACCCCTGTAAGCCAGTAACCCCGCTTCGTAGTACAGGCCACTGGACTGTCCACGTTTTTGCTCCCTCCCAGCTCCCAGCCAATCAGGAACACCGAATACCTGGTACAGGCCCCAAGAGGGTCTAGCTGCAGACGCCTGTAGAATGGAGCTCCACCCGAAATACGTCACCTCCACAGGAATCACGTGATCTTTAAGAGCTCCGGTTACGGTTAGGGTTAAGGTTAAGCTTTTTGTAACACAGAGTTGAGGTCACGTGTTTCCTGTGAGATGTCACATGACTAAAGGTATCCCATAACTCATTCCAAACCCATAACTTTCTTTAGTTGTTGCTGATTTGTTAGTGGTGGAACCCTGGATCTAGTGGCTTGTTCCATCTCATCCCGCATATTTGCAGAGTTGTATTGAGATCTGCAACTTGGAAAGGCAGCTGTAGTCTGAACATGAATAAAATGTCTATGTTCAGCAAATTATTATGATTATGACTAATTGCATTATGTCAAAGTTTCCTCCTCACACAGTGCAGCACTAAATAAATCAGCATTTACTGAGTATGAAATATTTGGTGCAAGTTCAGACTGTCATCTTTGTCAGCTGTTTGGTATTTTTGCATATGTGTTTTACCATTGTAATAATATCACTTTTCAGTTCATAATCGTGTTTTAGGTGAGCGCATGTTCTGGGACAATTTGCTGATCACAGAAAGCACACAGTAGAGAATGGCTGCCCAAAGACGT